AGATGATATACCTCGCATGGATGGAGAGGTCTACTTGGCCTTTGTCCTGAGCACAAAGCCACGTGCCAAGATCATCAAACTGGATGCCAGTGAAGCGCTGGCCCTCGACGGAGTCCATCAGTTTTTTTCCTACAAGGATCTAACCGAGCATGAGAACGAAGTGGGTCCCGTTTTCCATGATGAGCACGTCTTTGCCGCCGGCGAAGTTCATTGCTATGGTCAGATTGTTGGGGCCATAGCTGCGGACAATAAGGCATTGGCCCAAAGAGCCTCGCGCCTTGTGAAAGTTGAGTACCAGGAGTTAAGCCCGGTTATTGTGACCATCGAACAGGCCATCGAGCACAAGTCCTACTTCCCAGACTACCCTCGATTCGTGACAAAGGGCAATGTGGAGGAGGCGCTGGCCCAGGCGGATCACACTTACGAGGGTACCTGCAGGATGGGTGGACAGGAGCACTTCTATCTGGAGACCCATGCGGCATTGGCAGTTCCTCGCGATAGCGACGAGCTGGAGCTCTTCTGCTCTACCCAGCATCCATCGGAGGTGCAGAAACTGGTGGCCCATGTCACCACACTTCCTGCCCACCGCGTCGTTTGTCGAGCAAAGCGTTTGGGCGGAGGCTTCGGTGGCAAGGAATCGCGGGGCATTTGCGTAGCCCTTCCCGTGGCCTTGGCCGCCTACCGGATGGGTCGTCCTGTGCGCTGCATGTTGGATCGGGATGAGGACATGCTCATCACCGGCACCCGCCACCCCTTCCTCTTCAAATATAAGGTGGGCTTCACCAAGGAGGGTCTAATCACTGCCTGCGACATAGAGTGCTACAACAATGCTGGATGGTCCATGGATCTGTCCTTTTCGGTAAGTGATACTTCAATACTTATAATAACATTAAAACAAAATATATCAAATATAATGAATAATATTATGAATAGATTTAAAGTAATTTGTAAGAGACCACCTGATAGTTCTTCTATGTCTGAATCTTAGAAAATTTGATACTAGATAATACAGAATGATTCTACCTAAAGGTTCTGGTTTCTAAACTAGCCTAATGTATTTATCTTTACAGGTTCTGGAGCGCGCGATGTACCACTTTGAGAACTGTTACCGTATTCCCAACGTGCGAGTGGGTGGATGGGTATGCAAGACGAACCTGCCTTCAAATACTGCCTTCCGAGGCTTTGGAGGTCCTCAAGGCATGTACGCCGGAGAACACATCATCCGGGATGTGGCCCGAATAGTGGGTCGCGATGTGGTGGACGTGATGCGCTTGAATTTCTACAAAACAGGGGACTATACACACTACCATCAGCAGCTGGAGCACTTTCCCATCGAGCGATGTCTGGAGGATTGCTTGAAGCAGTCGAGGTACGAGGAGAAGCGCTTGGAGATCGCTCGATTTAATCGGGAGAATCGCTGGAGGAAGCGTGGAATGGCAGTGGTGCCCACGAAATATGGTATTGCCTTTGGTGTCATGCATTTAAACCAAGCTGGATCCCTGATCAACATCTACGGAGATGGATCAGTCCTATTGTCCCATGGAGGAGTAGAGATTGGGCAAGGTCTGAATACCAAGATGATTCAGTGCGCCGCCAGGGCTTTGGGTATTCCTCCGGAACTGATTCACATCTCGGAGACGGCCACGGATAAGGTACCGAATACCTCTCCTACGGCGGCAAGTGTGGGATCCGATCTTAATGGAATGGCCGTGCTGGATGCCTGCGAGAAGCTCAACAAGCGACTGGCGCCCATCAAAGAGGCACTGCCCGGGGGCACCTGGAAGGAGTGGATCAACAAGGCGTACTTCGATCGAGTCAGTCTCTCGGCCACTGGCTTCTATGCCATGCCGGGAATCGGCTATCATCCCGAGACGAATCCCAATGCCCGGACCTATAGCTACTACACCAATGGCGTGGGTGTCAGTGTGGTGGAGATAGACTGCCTGACTGGCGACCATCAGGTGCTCAGCACGGACATCGTCATGGATATCGGTTCCAGTCTGAATCCGGCCATAGACATTGGTCAGATCGAGGGCGCCTTCATGCAGGGCTACGGACTTTTTACCCTGGAGGAGCTTATGTATTCTCCACAGGGCATGCTATACTCCAGGGGTCCAGGCATGTATAAGCTGCCGGGATTTGCGGACATTCCTGGAGAGTTCAATGTCAGTCTGTTGACTGGTGCACCCAATCCACGCGCTGTCTACTCCTCCAAGGTAAGATAGTAAACCCGTGAAGAATATTACCACGAGATATATCTCTTATATTTTTTATAACAGGCGGTAGGGGAACCCCCGCTCTTCATAGGATCATCAGCGTTCTTTGCCATCAAGGAGGCCATTGCAGCTGCTCGTGAGGATCAGGGGCTCAGTGGAGACTTCCCACTGGAGGCGCCTTCCACCTCGGCTCGCATTCGCATCGCCTGTCAGGATAAATTCACCAACTTGGTAGGTGTTCCCCTAGACAAGATACAAATGTAGAGATCAATTAATTGATGTTTTTATCTTTTCAGCTTGATTTACCCGAGGCAGGAACTTTCACTCCATGGAACATTGTGCCTTAGAAATTGTTTTTATATTCGCTTTTAACTGTAAATTTGGTTTTGTACATATTTAAGTCAAATAAACGTTTTAAAATAATTAATATAAATATAACCCTTGATTTAAATTAAACCTTAGGTTTAATTATTATCAAACCTAAATGTTTTAAAAAAAAAAAAAAAATTAATTGCTTTCATGGTTCTGGTCACCTAATTGGTCATCATATGGTATCAATGTACTTTTTATGAACTCATGATTCTTTTGAGAATGGTGTATTTCAAAGGCTTTTAGTCCCTAGTTATTTTAAGCATTGACAGCATGAATATGATCTTACTAACATATCATGAATGACGAAAAAAAAAGACAAATCCTCTTGATAGAGCTGTTAATTTCCGATTGTCGGCGGTAGTACCACCCGAAAATATGAGCGCAAATAGAAGATGTTTCTGAGTGGGTCTCAGGTTATTTGAGATGAGATTTTTGTGAGCATCTCATTCGGCGATCGTATGCCGCGGAGCGTAGACATCAGAGATGAGGGCGCTAAATTGTTTGCTTTTTAAGTTCGTGTTCATTTTAGCATCGTCATTTGTTTCGGCCAGTCCACAGAACTATTATTACAATGGTTATGCACAGAGTGCGCCTTGGAATACAGTGGTTTCGATTGATAACTTCGGTAATTGCCAGGCCCACGATCGTCCTTTGGTTGGAAGATGTGTAAGGTACGAGGATTGCATCAGTGCCATCCAATCAGTGCCCCGAGTAACGCCCTTACTTTGCCCCTCGTCGTGGCCCAATCAACTGGTATGTTGTCCCCATGGCGGATATGTGATTCCGGCACTCAGGGTCTCAAGGAGTGAAGAAGGTGTGTATAACAAATATTTCGTATCCAGGAGTCTAGAACTATATTTTTATAAAGCCTGTTCGAGTGCCTATCCAAGAAGTCATCATAAGCGCCGCCGACGTCGTCGAAATTCAAATCCTAATAAAGAACAAGTGTATCCAGTTGAGCCCATTATCCAAAAGCGCAATCAGAGTGATAATTTCCTGGCTGGTGGGAGACTCACCTTGGAAAACGAGCATCCTTATATGGTATGGCAATAAAATTATAACCTAATTTATATTTATTATTATTATTATTACCTAATTTATATTTTAAAAGGATGGTAGAAACCCCATTGATAAAAAAAGATGTTTTTATATTTTGACTAAGAATTTCACATTTCGAATAATAGAAAGAGAATCCAAAGAGAAAGGGAAACTGATATCTTAATTTCCAGCTAAAAATAAAGAATTTATTAGAACCGTTCTATTAATGTGTTTTGAAATGTATCTTAAAATATCCTAGACAAATGAAAAACATTAAGATCAATACTTTTAATCTATTTGAATAGCCCCCTAATTTCATTTCATTGACTTACAGTGTGCCCTTGGTTGGCCATCCCGCAGGAATAGATGGATCCATTCGCACGGCTCCAGCAAGCGGAGATACATGTTCAACTGTGGCTGCGTCATGGTTGCGCCACGGTTCGCCATAACGGCAGCCCACTGTGCCAACGTCGGCGGGTGAGCAACGAAAATACAGCAAATACTCGAAATGCTAATGGGTTTGCTTCTTCAAAACGAACAGGGAACCCCCGTCGGTGGCGTTGATTGGCGGCGTTGAGTTGAACAGCGGTCGCGGGCAGCTGATTGAAATCAAGCAGATTATAAAACACCCCCACTTCGACGAGGAAACTTTGGTCAACGACTTGGCGGTAATCAAGTTGGCCAGGAGATCCCACAAGCCAGTGGCCTGCCTGTGGAACCAGGAATCCCTGCCCGAGAGTCCGCTGACTGCCCTGGGCTATGGACAAACCAAGTTCGGTTAGTAATTTAAAGTACTAAATAAATAATTTATTATTATCAAATATTTAACAGCTGGCCCACACTCCAACGATCTGCTGCAAATAATGCTTCACCACTTGAACGTTCAACAATGCCAGAGATATTTGCAAAACGATGACAAATTAGTTAATGGCTTGGGATCAGGACAACTATGCGCCGGGGATTACTCCGGTAATATGGACACTTGTCAGGTGAGAAATATATATTAATAATAAACTGTTTACTGATATCGTCAATACATGTACCATAGTAAAACTTTTTTTTACAATTTGATGGAAATTTTGGGTATTAACATACATTTCTGCTTTAGGGAGATTCTGGAGGACCTTTGTTGCTCCATCAGCATATGCGGCATCAGCACCATCGTGTTCCCTATGTGGTGGGAATAACTTCCTTTGGAGGAGCCTGTGCCACTGGAGAGCCCGGGGTTTACGTGAGAATAGTCCACTACATTCAGTGGATAGAACAACAGGTGTGGCCATGAGAAATTCATTTGGGTTCCAATTAAACTTTTTCTAAATTATAAAAAGTGTTTCCGATTATTTTTTTATAGAAACTTATTAAATTCTTGCCGCTTATAATATCTTACATGATGTTTTCTTAATCAATCTTATAAAATATGTGTAAAATAAATAAAATTTTTAAAGTTACAGAAAGTATATTTAATAACTTAAATTATGGTATCAACGCTGCTTGAAGGCAATCCTCTCGATCCAATCCAAGTAGCTGTACAGCCTGGTGTAAACCCCAGGGGCATTGGGGAGCGGCGCAGAATTTGCCAAAGGAGGTGATCCCCACCACGAAGGCCACGCAGTTGTATTCCGGCAGGACGGCATGGAGTGGTCCACCAGAGTCACCCTGACAGGTGTCCTTGCCGCCGGGTAAATATCCCGCACAAAACTGACCCTCAATGATGCCCCTGGGCAGACGGCGCTCCTTGCGGTAGATTTGCTTGCAGCTCATCTGCGGAATCACGTCCAGGTCCACCTGACGCAGGACATTCGACTTGGCGCCCAGGAACTCTGTGCGTCCCCAGCCGGCTGCCACAACGGTGGGTATCTGGAGCTCCGGCAGTTGCCACAGGCAGGCGGGACGCACTTGCTCCGACAGCCTGACCCTCCGTGTCAACTTGAGCAATGCAATGTCATGGTAATAGGCCGATGATCTGTACTTGGGATGTAGCACAATGATCAGGATCTTAATGTCCTGCTGGGCAGAGCTGGTCTCGTTCAACTGGCGGGCACCCAATCGAACCATGTCCGGTGGCTTGCTGAAGGATCGAAGATAGACATTGATTTAGTTCCGCCTTCAAGGATCCTGCAACTTACCTACCCGAGGTGGCACAATGGGCGGCGGTCAGGACATACAGCTCGCTAACCAGGGCACCGCCACAGCCCCACTTAATATCCACATCCTTGGAGCCACTGCCACTGCCCTGCGTCCATCCCAAAGCCGCCATGTGTGGAAAAAGTCCATGTCGGGTGGGGGTTCCACCCACTATCAAAGGAACGCTGGGCACGCACTGCTTCCCGGAGAAAGTGCGTCCGGTATCGGCCAATTGGAGTCTCCTAGTGGCAGCATTGTATTCCTGGCATTCTGCGAAAGATTATTCCATTTTTAATTTATATATTACCCTTAAAAATGTACTCACTAGTGGCACTGATACGCTGGGCCAGGACATGTTTATCCGCCAAAGGACAACAGATGACCGGGACATTGTTCCGATGGGTGCAAATGTCGATGCGGGTCCCATGCACCCGATATTCCCGGATGACGTGGAGGCACTGATAGGCCAGGATGCAGTAGCCACTTCGGCCATCGAAGCTCCGGCGGCAGAAGGCACCCTCGGGAAGTCCTTCGGAAACCGCGGTTCTTACCTCCCCATCGTCGCCGAACTTCAGATAACTCTCTTCCTCTTCAGTTTCCAGGGCATCTTCATCTTCAGCAGTTGATTGATCTTCCCAAACTTCGGGGATTGTGTATTTGGTGGTCTGGTAATTGATTATTTCAAGGGCATCGAGAGCTGTTGAAAATGATATAGGGGTGTGCGGAATTCAATAATATATAAAGTATTTATCACTTACCCTCAATTCGCTGTGTTTGCAGGAGCACATGCAGGCACGCCAATTGAAGATGTATGATTAGGGACCAAAGTATTATCATTCTATCGGGAATTTTTGAGGTTTCATTATTAGCCTCTTAGCACACGTTTTGAAGAGCTGCAATAAATTTACTTTCAAAGAAAAGGTTATATTTAATAAGAAAATATTAAGAAAATTGAATCTAATTTTCAGAAGACTGTTGTCTACCCTTAATTCTATGTATTGATCTAAACAGTTTGAACTTTTTATTGACTGTTGATCTTATAGCTGAAATGTGTTGAATCGTCTTGAATATTTCTTCCACCACTGTCTCCAAAACAAACCCTTGTCTGTCTGTGTGTTTTTTTTGTTTAATGTATTTTTATTAATTAATGCGGGCGCTCAATTATAAATTCGGCTGAATTTCAATAAAACTGTTTGCCTGCGCTGTTGTGCTTCTTTTCGCGTATTGTGGATTGGAAGATCCCAGTCGGATTAAATCGGTCAATCGAACAAGACCTATACAGATGGCGGATTTGAAGCGACTTTGTGTTTATATAGCAATTTGTGTGCTGTCTGGCGGATTTCGAGTGAAGGGACAGGGGGAATTTCCTAATCAATATTTGGATCCGAATCGAAATCCAAATCCAGAGCCGGATCCAACCAGGTGGGACTTCAACAACTACAATAGCTACGGTTACAACGGTCAGTGGTCGCCGGGTTACTTTAACAACTACGGATATTATAGACCCCCACCGCCACCACCTCCTCCGCCCTGTGGAAGGCCACCACCGGGACCTCCGCCACCGGGTCCACCTCCTCCTGGGCCGCCACCCGGTTGCCCTGGAGGTCCGCCACCACGCCCGCCACCACGTCACGGGGAAAATGGCCCAAGACGATGGCATCCCCGTCGTCCGCCGCCCAATCATCATATGAACTTTCACAACATCTTCCTAAACACGGAGCGTAAGGTGGACGAGGAGAACTTCAACAAGACCGCGGAGACTGAGGATTTGCATGATGATTTCAATGGGCGATCCATTGTAGCGCCTGGACAGTACCCACATATGGTAAGTATTTGCAATCCAAACAAAAATCAAAAATCAACACAAACCAAAAATAAATACAATAAAAATCGCACGAAACCGGAATGGGGGAAACGCCAAAGTACCGCCGCCACAACACAAATACGACTAAAAATCGATCGCTGACTTGCAAATCGATGCCCTAAACCATATGATAACAGTTATTGGGTCCAGCTAATCCTCTCTTCTCCGATCTCGATCTCAGGCCGCTCTGGGATTCCGGAATGAGAACCAGGAGATCGACTACAAGTGCGGAGGCAGCCTCATCAGTGAGAACTTTGTGCTCACCGCCGCTCATTGCCTTACTACTCACGGGTAAGCTTTCTAGTTTGCTCGGAACTTGGTGAGTTCTCTTGGGTCATTTGAGTGTTTTTACCTCAGAGATTAACCCTCTACACTATTCTATCCTAACAAGAATTATGCCATTCTTCTAAGGAGAATGTGAGTTTTCTTTGTTATAAAGATAAGGAGGAAAAAAAGATCTTTTTAATCAAAGCACATTATATTTTATATCAATATTAAAAAATTTAAACAATAGAAAAATTTGGAATATGTAAGAAAATTATAGTTTCCAAAGAAAACATTAAAAAGAGAGCAATTGATTCCATTCTTCTTTTTTAAAGTATATTAACATAATAGGTAAGTAACTTAAATACTTTCCTACAGAACCGCTCCCGATGTGGTAAAAATCGGAGACATTAAGCTAAAGGAATGGGAGAACGATGTGGCCCCCCAAAGACGACGAGTTAAGAAAATTTATCTGCACCCGCTCTACAACTCGACTCTTAACTACCATGATATCGGACTTATCGAGTTGAACCGACCAGTGGAGTACACCTGGTTTGTAAAGCCGGCCCGGTTGTGGCCTAAAAATGATATACCTTACGGCAAGCTGCACACCATGGGATACGGATCGACAGGATTCGCTCAGCCGCAGACCAACATTCTCACGGAACTCGATCTGTCGGTGGTGCCAATTGACCAGTGCAATACTAGTCTGCCCGCCGATGAAAGCGCTCCCCAGGGAATACTAACGAGTCAGATTTGCGCCCATGACTATGAGAAAAATAGGGATACCTGTCAGGTGAGTGTTTGTAATATAAATGGGTTAAGAATTAAGCTTTTAAAAGACCAATTATAATATATCTATTAAGATATTTATTATTTAATACCAATCTTTGTATACATTACAATCGTTTTCAGAATACAAAATTTCCAACATTATAACTCATCTCTAAAACCTTTTACAGGGCGATTCCGGAGGTCCACTTCAATTGAACTTGGAGCGACAAAAACGCCGGCACAGAAATCGCAGGCACTATCGTTACTACCTTGTGGGAATTACATCTTATGGAGCCTATTGTCGCAGTGAATTCCCCGGTAATTAAGTTTGAAGTACAAAATATTTTTAAATTAATGTATAAATTTATTAATCTTTCAGGGGTTTACACGCGCGTTTCTTCCTATATCGACTGGATAGCATCTATTGTGTGGCCCACATACTATAGCGAGTTTACTAATCAATAAATATAGTCAGTAATAAAATTTTGCAATCAGAAATTATATAATTTTTTTTATTTTAAGCTCCCTAGTAAAGAATCTTTACAAAGGTTAGTAACTGGGCTTTAAATTGTTTTTGTTATTTTCATATGGTTGCTAGGTGCCGCGAAATACAAAAATGATTTATTTGGTCAATACTTTTGTCTTCTAATAGAAATAATTTGAAAATGGTTGGAAAAAGCAAGAAGAAACGAAATAGCAAGGATTCTACATCCAGTAATGCCGGAAGTGGCGAGGGTGAGGAGAAAAAGAAGAAAGAAGGCGGTAAAAAGAAAGGGGGCGTGGGAAAGTCCATTGGCTGTGATATTTTCAATGATGCTGCCATGGAAAATGCTTACTATGTGTGCCATAATGTGCAGGTTAGTAACTTTGTATACATTTAATTAACAATTATTAACTATGTTAATATTTTAGGACGTTCTTAAATCAAGAGGATTTGCCTGGCCAGATGGGCAAAAGAAGAAAAAGAAGGGAAAGCGCTAAGAGAGATAATATAAGAGAAATATACTATAGTAATGTATCCTTTACTTTACAAATTATTTGTTCTCTGTAACAAATACTTTAAATTAAATCATATATATTAAAGAAATATTTAAGCTGATATTAAAAGTAAAAGTTCAATGTGATTCCCCCTTGGCCTGCATAAATGAGTGCAAACGTGTTCATATTTATTTTTATGAAACCAAAACAAGACATCATCGATCAAAAACAAAAAATTCCAATAAACGCAGCCTGCCCAAAGTTAAACGTCAGTGGCAAACATTTCTAGAACGAACGTCACAATCTCCAAAGTACGAACACATTTTTCGAATTCGGCGTGTGAAAAATATAGGAAAGCAAAATTGTATTCGTTTCATAGAATGTGCGAAGCCTGCACCATATAAATAGGAGCAACAATCGCGTTTTTTCAGTCTAAAATCAGCATTACCAGCTGCTGCATCTAAAGGAGTGGAGATTTAAGAAACATATCTAGAAATAATGGTTAAGATACCGGCTATAGGAATTGATTTGGGGACCACCTACTCCTGCGTGGGAGTTTGGCAGAACAGCAAGGTGGAGATCATAGCCAATGATCAGGGAAATCGTACCACGCCCTCATATGTGGCATTCAACGATACGGAGCGCCTTATTGGCGATGCGGCCAAGAACCAGGTGAGTCAGGGTCCCCATTATGATTGTCCAAATACGTCGATTGTAGAGCACAATTATGGGCAAGTGCGAATAGCCGTCCGTAGTGATGTGATGCGAGTGATTTAATTGGAATGGTATACAAAAATAAATGCGAGATGCGAAAAATTTGGCCTATTCGTATAGGCAAAAGCTCTGAAAAATTAATATTTATTTTGCAGGAGCAAAAAAATATATTTTGCTCATTAAAAATTTTTAATTTTTCCAGGTCGCCATGAATGCTAAGAACACGGTGTTCGATGCCAAGCGTCTAATTGGCCGCAAGTTCGATGACAAGAAGATTCAGGAGGACCTGAAGCTGTGGCCCTTCAAGGTCATCAACGAGGGCGGCAAGCCCAAGATCGAGGTGGAGTTCAAGGGTGAACGCAAACGATTTGCTCCCGAGGAGGTCAGTTCGATGGTGTTGACCAAGATGCGCGAAATCGCCGAAGTTTATCTAGGTGGCAAGGTGAAGGACGCCGTGATTACGGTGCCAGCCTATTTTAACGATAGCCAGCGACAGGCAACCAAGGATGCGGGTTCCATTGCGGGGCTGAATGTGCTGAGGATCATTAACGAACCCACTGCGGCTGCCTTGGCCTATGGATTGGATAAGAACCTCAAGGGGGAGCGCAATGTTCTGATTTTCGACCTGGGTGGCGGCACCTTCGATGTCTCCATTCTGACCATTGATGAGGGCTCCCTCTTCGAGGTAAAGTCCACGGCTGGAGACACTCACTTGGGTGGTGAGGATTTTGATAACCGGCTGGTCAACCATTTTGCAGAGGAGTTTAAGAGGAAGCACAAGTCGGATATCAAGGGAAATGCCAGGGCTTTGCGACGTCTGAGAACAGCTTGTGAAAGGGCAAAGAGGACCTTATCCTCCAGCACGGAGGCATCCTTGGAGATTGATGCCCTGCACGAGGGCATCGACTTCTACTCGAAGATTTCCAGGGCCCGTTTCGAGGAACTCAACATGGACCTCTTCCGCTCCACCATGCAGCCCGTGGAGCGGGCCCTCAGCGATGCCAAGATGGACAAGAAGGCCATCCACGATGTGGTCCTGGTCGGTGGTTCCACGCGCATCCCAAAGATCCAGAAACTGCTGCAGGATCTGTTCGGTGGCAAACAGCTGAATCTGTCCATTAATCCGGACGAGGCTGTGGCATATGGAGCCGCTGTTCAGGCAGCCATTCTCACCGGCGTGGGCAGCTCCCAGATCCAGGATCTCCTTCTGGTGGACGTGGCGCCCCTCTCGCTGGGCATCGAAACCGCTGGCGGTGTGATGACCAAGTTGGTGGAACGAAATGCTAGGATTCCCTGCAAGCAGCAGCAGACCTTCACCACCTACAGTGACAACCAAAATGCGGTGACCATTCAGGTTTACGAGGGAGAGCGGGCCATGACCAAGGATAATAACCTTTTGGGGACTTTCAATCTCACTGGGATTCCACCGGCTCCCCGAGGAGTGCCCCAGATCGAGGTGGCCTTTGATTTGAATGCTGATGGCATCCTGAATGTGAATGCCAAGGACAATAGTACCGGGAAGACCGAGAAGATCACCATTACCAACGATAAGGGAAGGCTATCCAAAGCGGAGATCGATCGCATGCTCTCGGAGGCGGAGAAGTACAAGGTGGAGGACGATCGTCAGAGGGAACGGGTTCAGTCCCGAAACAATCTCGAGGGATATATCTACAGCTGTCGCCAGGCCGTCGATGAGGCCCCATCTGGTGTCCTCTCCGAGTCGGATCGCTCCAAGGTGCGCGAGAAGTGCAACTCTGAGGCAACCTGGCTTGATAAGAACTCTCTGGCTGAAAAGGAGGAGTTTGAGCACCATCTCCAGGACTGCCAGCGCATCTGCAGTCCCATTATGTCGAAACTCCATGCCGGACCCAAGGGCAAACAGTCGACGTCTGCTGGAAATGGTGCTCATCCCACCGTGGAGGAGGTGGACTAGTTCCAGTACTAACTTGTTCAGCTATTGCCAATGTATTATTAAATACCTATTTTCGTAAAAATAAATTTAAGTGCCCTTGTCGTGTTATGGGTCACTTTTTCATTATGTTTTCGGAGTTATGAAAGATAATTATTTAAAATATATGCTAAAAACATTCTTTAAAATTCTAGGCACATCTTTAAAAACGCACATCTCATAATTCTGTGTTAAGAACTTTCTAATCTGGTATGTATTCCCAATAATTAAATTCAACTGATTATTTGAAAATTCTTTCTATAACTGAGGATGGTGTAAGGTGCCTTAAAATAATGTCGAATTTTTGACAAAAATCTAAATTTTGTATTTTTGACAAAAAATTTAACTCTTTTTTCGCCATAAAAATTCAGTTTTTTTGGCTGCCATAACAAAAATATAAGTCAGAATGAGGAATGTCATACCTCGTTAAACTCGTTGTTTAATTTCCAATCGATTGGCATTTCAACCTGAAAATTTTTAATTTTTGCCATTTTTCGAAAAAAAAGTGATGTAACCCCTACAAAAATTGAGGAAATTGGTCAAAAAATAAATTTTCCAAAAAGTGATGAGGATCGTTAGCATATTTAGCAAGCTGTTCAAAACAGTCGGTCTTTTAGTTGTACGCCTCGATTTGGCTGAACTACGATGGAAAAACCGAAAAAAAATGTCAAATTTTTGACAAAAATGTGAATTTTGATTTTTGACAAAAAATTTAACCCTTTTTTCGCCATAAAAATTCAGTTTTTTGGCTGCCATAACAAAAATATAAGTCAGAATGAGGAATGTCATACCTCGTTGAGCTCGTTGTTTAATTTCCAATCGATTGGCATTTCAACCTGAAAATTTTTAATTTTTGCCATTTTCCGAAAAAAAAAGTGATGTAACCCCTACAAAAATTGAGGAAATTGGTCAAAAAATAAATTTTCCAAAAAGTGATGAGGATCGTTGGGATATTTAGCAAGCTGTTCAAAGCAGTCGGTCTTTTAGCTGTACGCCTTGATTTGGCTGAACTATGATGGAAAAACCGGAAAAAAATGTCGATTTTTTGACAAAAAATGAATTTTGTATTTTTGACAAAAATTTTAACCCTTTTTTCGCCATAAAAATTCAGTTTTTTGGCTGCAATTACAAAAATATAAATCAGAGTGAGGAATGTCATACCTCGTTGAGCTCGTTTTTGAGTGCTGGTATCAGATAAAATTTAATCTCGAAAACATCACATTTTTTCTTATTCTCTGATCTTAATCGATACACATTGCTCTATATTTCGTCCACTTTGGGAGTCGTATTTTTTCCTAAAGATGTAAAATGTATATCTTAAATTAAGTAGACTGACTGGCTTTATCGTGAACAGAATCCCAGAACTAGTTAGTCCAATCAATTTTCCGTGTACTTAAATATTCTATTTTCCAACAGCAGTGCAAACATCAGTAGGCGGATAGCTCGACTGCAATGAATCGATTAAGTTCGTATGCTTAATATTTAAATATACGTTTCCAATGTTTTGCATATGAACCCCTTGAACCCCCATTGGCAAGCTTTGAGTTTGCTTTGGTTTTTGGGTATTACCGATCAGTCTTCCACGGAATTTTGTCGCGAAATGGCCGTAGCACCGAGCAAACTTCTGGAGTCGCCCCTAAATCGGTTGCACTGCGCCATTCTACATAGTCTACCGGGTCAGAGTTGCACAAAAGCATTCTTTTGGAACCTGTACCGCAACCATGTCTCCAGTGCGAAGTACTATTCACCCTTGTTGCTGGTCTGGTAGTACATCGATTTTAATCTTGTAGTTAAGGAGTTGTTTTCTCAATGTCATTTTAGTTTGTTATCTGACAAAAAAATACAAATACAAATTGCTAAGGAAGACAAGTTCGATTTCTTAATGTGATGTTAATTAACGGAGTATGTTATTTAATGATTCAATGTTAAATTTAACTAGAACATTTTAGTCAGTAAACTAAAACGTGATACTAAGATGCAATCTAACTTAACGCGAAAGTAACATACTAAAACCGTGTCGAAAGTATAATACATATATGAAAATACAAACTTTATTTAATTGCAGCTACCTTTGCTCATGAATTGGCGACGTCTGTCTAAAACTTTCGTACTTTCTGTGTTGAAAAACTATTTGCAATCCTTCAGTTTCGCCGCCTTTATAAATGCCATTACCTTTTACTTAATGTGTGTAAGCAGGCGATTCAATGGTCGTTTTGTGTTTATCTTCATACCATATCTGCCCTGCTGGACTGCCTCCCAACTGAGTTGGTTGATGCCTCCTCAGGTTCTTCACTTCTTTGTGACGGGAATAACACCTGCAGTAAGTAAATTAATATTTCTTATAGAACTAAAATCAAATAAAAATCAATTACAGGCCATAGAAAGCTTACTGAGGTATTTTGACGCCGGATTGGTACATTCTCCCTTGGCTCAAACCCTTATTTTTATGATATCCTCTGTGGTGGTCTTGCACTATCAGCAGACCCGAAAGTATTCCGGTTTCTGGTTTATCCGACCGACTTCTTTGACCGAGGATCACAAGGAAGACACCATCTTCAAGCGAATGGTTCAGGGTCTAAGGGAATTAAGATCTTACCTGGGCATTGGACTTGTTTTGGATCTAATAAATCCCATAATGAAGAGAAACCTTAAGCTCTTGCGTCCGAAGATGACCAGTTTCTTGACAGGCTATATAGGACTGTTTAAGGTGCTTATAATATATATTTAACTTGAAATGTTAATATATTGCATCTTCTTTTCAGCTAGTACAATTACTTCCGTTTAATAATTTAGATGTGAAGCAGGTCAATGCTCTAGCGTCATTTGTAAGTGGGGCTTCCTTTGCCCTCTTACCAAATCGGCTTACCTTTATGTGCTTTGCTTTTGTGACGGCCATCCAGGTGTTTTGGCAACAGGTGTGCAAACTTAAAGCTGAGAAGGATCCGATACTTTCTGGAATGCAAAAGATTCCCTGGTCAAGACTGTTGATACCCTGTTGTCTGGCTTACCTGGTGCACATTTTCTTTTATCACCAACGACATCTCAACGAGGTTGCCCGGAGTTTCATAGACAGTACATGCGATAAGAAGTAAGTAAATGATAAATCAATAGATCCTATATAAACCAAATTCAATTACAGTGGCCAGCGATTATTGGATCTGATGAGCCTTCCCGATATAAACGCCATAATAGAAACGGCGAATAAGTCACCAAAAACCTCTTTTTGGTTTTAAATATGTTAAACACGACTTTTGTACTAAAAAGAATTGACTTACTACTAAAATATACATATTGAAATTTGATAGTGTTTATATAAAAAATAAAATCTTAACTTGTCAGAACCAAATCATAATTGGCACTTAAGCTTGGAACATATAGGTATTTACCATATGACGTTATAAACGATGTGCATAAATTATTTTTATCTCACCTAAAACGGGTTTTGAATGTGCCAAACCTCTCAATTAGTTGCGTTATCTGTGACAAGAGAAATTGGAGATATCTCCTATTTTGTGTCTGCAAATGGAGATGTCTCCAAGGAAATTATAATAAAATTGAGATAAATTTATCGATTTTTTAAATATGTTGTTTAAAAGAATGACTTTATTAAATCTTTGCTTAAGGTAAAATGTATTGGAATATCAAGTCTGTATAAGGATACAATTAATCTTGGACCTAAGCATCATTAGCCAGCCAAATGTCGGAAGTGCAGTCACCGCCAGGATAACGCATTTCATGGGGCAGACTGGGACCATAGGGCTCCTTGCCAAAGTCAACCAAGAAGTCTTCATTCAGGGATATTCCTCCATTTACGGTATCCACATCAATCAGGACAATATGACCGCCTTGGGATACCATTTTAGGATAGAACTAAAAAAACAAGGGATATTATATTTTCGCTATGTAAGAAGAATTCTTTTTTAAAGTACTCACCTGCTTATCCCAGGGGGAATATAATGACGAAGAGACATATAAACGCTTGCCATCAAGAGACAGCTGCATCATTTGTGGACCTCCTTCCAATCGGCGGCCTTTTACATACCGAGCTGGTGGTCGCTCCTAAAATAGAAATGCATGTTTCAAACTAAATAAGTCAATGATAATACCATACATACCTTGAGTTCCTTATCTTCCTTAACTATAACATTGGGCAAATCACTACATATGGCACCTCCCAGGAAAAGCTGTCCTGTAAGCTTCGGGTTTTCGGGATCAGTAATATCATATTGTCTTACATCGCCATGTCGCCAGCAGTTGACATAAAGGAATCGGTCATCCAGAGATATGATAATGTCCGAGATCATGCCCCCCATATCCTCCACGTTTCCACTGCCGGTATCCACCAGTTTTCCGGGAATGTCTATCACCTTTTTGGCCTCAAACTCATCCGAATCAGCTTTTTTCTTGAAGTAGAACACCTTGGCATTGAGGGCACAGCCAACGAATCCTTCCGCTCGTTTAGGATCGTGAAGAAAGCGAATCTCCAAAGGCGTTATACCATCCGAACCCAAATCGATTGTTTGATAGAGTGTCTGCGTTGACCATTTGTAGAAGTTGAGACGGCAGCCGTACTGGGTCATGTCATCGAGATCACCATTCTTCCAGCCTCTAAAACCAGAAACAACATTTCATAATCAAGTTACTTTTTGTACCCCATAATATGTTTTCTATTATTTTTTCACTTACCGTCGCCATTTGTTGGGGGCTCCCCACTCCGAAGAAACCATCACATCGAAATAAGGTTGATACCAGAAATCGTAACCACATAGTGCCTTCTTTTCTCCCTTGGTCCAAGTTCCGATGCAATTGAATTCCGAATCAAAGAGGATAAAGTCTCCTTTGGCATATCCCTCTGCATCGCCCATTACGGATATCATAATATTTCCATTGGCCAGGCAGTGAGTGGTGTGGGGACCCGTCACATTGTGACTTTTCAACACATCGGCATCAATGGTCTTGATAATCTCTGGCTTTCGGGGATCCGTAACCACATCGAGTATATATACAAAATCTGAATTCAAAGCCGGCAGTACCAGCCTATCTCTTTTTGGAACGGTTTTAGAGTTCTCATCGACATAGTAGCAACTGGAGCAGGCGTTCCAGCCAGAGTGATGCAATTCGTCACCTTTCCTATTTGTAAATGTACGGTGCACTATCTTAAATAGATAATACAAAAATATAAAAACAGTTAAGTAAATGAATAATTTAAATATAATTGCTTGCTCTCTACGTTGATTAAATTTGATCACAGTGTCACAGTGATACTTGATTTATTTACCTGACAGTAGGTGGGGCTCTCGGGATCCACATCGACTGTTGACAGATAATCGCCGTGGGGCTCATCCAGGTTGGGCTGAACGGTGACCGTGTAGAGGAGCTTCTCCCGGGGACCACTCCTCATAGCATCCAGCGGGGTTGCGTAACCCGGTCCTCGGCAACAGGCTGCAGAAAAACAATTTAATTATCAAAATTGCTTGGGATTTGTATTCACTTTATCAAATATTCGAGGCATGTGTTTGTAATTCAAAGTACATATATGTGTTTTGTATTTACTTTTATTGGACATGGCTCGGCGGTTGTTGCGGAACGAAGATCAGCGACAAAATGAATATCGCCCGATGTTGAGCGAAAGCTTTATACTGGGTCTCTCTTGCCGGCATCTTGTATATATACAATATACAATGCCTTGTGAGCTCTTCAAATAATTACCAAAGAGAACCGGTTCGCCGACTTTCTTATCACTAATACTAGTTAGGTCAGTTACACTTGTGAATGTGTTTAGATTAAATGTTATCTTTCATTACGAATCTAAGAAGTTCAAAATATTATTAAGAGCTTTATGGCTGATAGTGGAATTTGGTGGGGGGAAGTTTGAACATTGAGTTCTTTATATATTTGAATTGTGTCGTCATTTAGTCATGAAGAAAGAAGTATTGATTTAAACAAACAAGATCTGTCGTTTTTCAAAAATGCTTTTGAAAAATCTTGGAATATCTTATCTCGCAAGAGGATGTGGCAAAACGCACACAATATCAGGCTATTAATGAGGAAAACTATACATGCCCATATATTATTAGATCCAAAAAAGGTAAAATGTCGTTTACAAAGGGTGTTGCAAAAAGACAAGTATATAGGATAGTATTTATTCCAAAATCTCCGAAGGTTTTTGTGAAAATAGCCAAATATATGATGGAGTTAGTTAAGAGCTGATAAGAAACCCGCCAAACTCACAACGGTTAGCCATGACATGAACCGCGACAAGTTAAATTATCGATTAAGCTATCGGTCTTTCAGCGTAAGCGATTCGAATATTTTTGGTATATCTCTTAGCGCCGGCAGATTGGCAATTAAACGGTCACACTGCAGGCAGGAAATATTTTAGCGCGTCGCAACGAAAAAGCAATTGTAATCCTCGTGGTGGCTAGTTAATCCAAAGCATTTTAGCTCTATTGAATCGAGGATAACCCGATCCTGGACAGCGTGCAGCCATGTCGCATCACTACGTGGTGACGGCGCAAAAGCCGACGGCGGTTGTTGCCTGTTTAACTGGTAAGTATGGCAGAGGGGAGAAAAGGGGGTCCCTATGTGGTCTCCCCGGCGAAAACAGAAACAAGCATGTTTGCCGGTTGCCGGATTACACAAGCCAAAATATACATATGTTTGCTAAACACCGGCACATTTATCTTATCTTTATCTCTTCTCCAGGCAACTTCACCTCGCCCACGGATCTCAATCTTATTATTGCCCGGAACAACCAGGTGGAAATTGATCTGGTCACGCCGGAGGGACTGCGTCCTCTAAAAGAGATCAACATCAATGGCACCATTGCCGTGATGCGGCACTTCCGACCGCCTGATAGCAACAAGGACCTGCTCTTCATCCTGACGCGTCGCTACAACGTCATGATCCTCGAGGCCCGCATGGTCAACGATGTCATCACGGTGGTCACCAAGGCCAACGGCAATGTGTCCGATTCGGTGGGCATTCCCTCCGAGGGAGGCGTCATCGCCGCCATCGATCCCAAGGCCAGGGTCATCGGGATGTGTCTGTACCAAGGCCTGTTCACCATCATTCCGATGGATAAGGAGGCCAGCGAGCTGAAGGCCACCAATTTGCGGTAATATTAAATATAAATTTTGGAGAAGCGACGCTATAAAGTACTTTTAATGGATGCCTCTTATCAATGAAACATCAATCCATAAGAAACTTATTTCAAAATTCAAGATGATTCATCCACATGTGTGCATGGTTCTTTCAAATATGTAGGTCTGTAGGTCCATACTTTTCATATAAGATAGTATTTGATTTTCATATAAGATGGTTTCATACGCTATCATTGCACTCAAATTTTTCAAATTTCTCCCTTACAGAATGGATGAGCTGAACGTGTACGATGTGGAGTTTCTGCATGGCTGCCTCAACCCCACCGTCATAGTCATCCACAAGGACAATGACGGCAGGCATGTAAAGTCCCACGAGATCAACCTGCGGGAGAAGGAGTTCATGAAAATAGCCTGGAAGCAGGACAACGTAGAAACCGAGGCCACCATGCTGATCCCAGTGCCGTCACCCATCGGTGGAGTGATCGTAATTGGGCGGGAATCGATCGTGTATCACGACGGAAGCAACTACCATGCGGTGGCGCCGCTCACCTTCCGCCAAAGCACCATCAACTGCTACGCCCGTGTGAGTAGCAATGGATTGCGCTACCTGCTGGGCAACATGGATGGCCAGCTGTACATGTTGTTCCTGGGCACGTCGGAGACGAGCAAGGGAGTGACTGTAAAGGACATCAAGGTGGAGCAGCTGGGCGAGATCTCTATACCAGAGTGCATTACTTACCTGGACAATGGGTTCCTCTACATCGGAGCTCGTCACGGCGATTCGCAATTGGTGCGCCTCAATTCGGAGGCTATCGATGGCTCTTATGTTGTGCCTGTAGAGAACTTTACCAACCTGGCACCGATTCTGGACATTGCTGTCGTGGATCTGGATCGTCAGGGACAGGGCCAGATCATCACGTGCTCGGGCAGCTTTAAGGATGGATCCCTGCGCATTATTCGCATAGGTATTGGCATCCAGGAGCATGCCTGCATTGATCTCCCCGGCATCAAGGGCATGTGGTCTTTGAAGGTGGGAGTCGATGAGAGTCCTTACGAGAACACTCTGGTACTGGCCTTTGTGGGTCACACGAGGATCCTCACCCTGTCCGGCGAAGAAGTTGAAGAAACCGAAATTCCCGGCTTCGCCAGCGATCTGCAGACTTTCCTTTGTTCAAATGTGGATTATGATCAGGTTAGCCTTTAAGCAATTTTAATACAAAGTCACAAGAATATTAACTCCTATCTTCTTCAGTTGATCCAAGTTACTTCGGACAGTGTTCGCTTAGTAAGTAGTGCCACCAAGGCTCTCGTCGCCGAGTGGCGTCCGCAAGGTGATCGTTCCATCGGCGTCGTATCTTGTAATACAACGCAAATCGTGGTGGCTTCTGCATGCGACATATTTTACATCATTATTGAAAATGGAAGCCTAAGAGAGCAGTGTCGCAGGACTTTGGATTATGAGGTGGCCTGCCTGGATGTCACTCCCTTGGATGAGACGCAAAAGAAGTCGGATTTGGTGGCCGTGGGCTTGTGGACAGATATATCTGCTGTGATCCTGTCGCTGCCCGATCTTAAGACCATTTACACCGAAAAACTAAGCGGTGGTAAGCTTTAATGCTATAACTTGCAACTTTCGAGCACACATCTCCTTTCTTTTTAGAAATCATTCCCCGCTCTATTCTGATGACCACCTTCGAGGGAATCCATTATCTGCTCTGCGCTTTGGGTGACGGCTCTATGTATTACTTTATCATGGACCAGACCACTGGGCAATTGACGGACAAGAAGAAGGTGACGCTTGGCACGCAACCAACCACGCTGCGCACCTTCCGGTCCTTATCCACCACGAATGTCTTTGCCTGCTCCGATCGTCCCACGGTGATTTACTCTTCTAATCACAAGTTGGTGTTTTCAAATGTGAATCTGAAGGAGGTTAACCACATGTGCTCGCTGAATGCACAGGCTTATCCGGATAGTTTGGCGTTGGCCAACAAGAACGCAGTTATTTTGGGCACCATCGATGAGATCCAGAAGCTGCATATTCGAACAGTACCGCTTGGCGAGGGCCCACGAAGAATTGCCTACCAAGAGGCATCGCAGACGTTTGCTGTGTCCACTCTACGTATTGATGTACATGGAAGGGGTGGAGCTAAACCATTGCGGAACAGTGCCTCCACGCAGGCCCAGAATATAACGTGTAGCTCTAATTTCCTGCCCAAACCGGGTGGTGGAAATTCCACGGCTGCCAATGCGGAAGTGGGTCAAGAGATCGATGTACACAACCTGCTGGTCATCGATCAAAACACGTTCGAGGTTCTCCACGCCCACCAATTCGTGTCCCCCGAAACTATATCCTCGCTGATGTCCGCCAAGCTGGGCGACGATCCCAATACGTACTACGTGGTGGCCACGTCATTGGTAATTCCAGAAGAACCGGAGCCAAAGGTGGGAAGGATCATCATCTTCCACTACCACGACAACAAGCTCACCCAGGTGGCCGAGACTAAGGTGGATGGAACCTGCTATGCCCTGGTTGAGTTCAATGGCAAAGTTCTTGCCGGTATCGGAAGTTTTGTGCGTCTATACGAGTGGACCAATGAGAAGGAGCTGCGCATGGAGTGCAACATTCAAAACATGATTGCCGCCTTATATCTGAAGGCCAAGGGTGACTTTATCCTGGTTGGAGATCTGATGCGATCCATCACGCTGCTTCAGCACAAGCAGATGGAGGGCATCTTTGTTGAGATTGCCCGCGATTGTGAACCCAAATGGATGAGAGCCGTTGAGATACTTGACGACGATACGTTCCTGGGCTCCGAGACAAATGGAAATCTTTTCGTCTGTCAAAAGGACAGGTAAGTTTACCAGGCTATTGAGTCTAAAAATAAGATGAATAGTTTATATATTCCACAAAAAATATGATAATAATGAGACGTGTGACTTTGATTTACAACATAAAATCATTCTGTACTACTTTAGTGCCGCCACAACCGACGAGGAACGTCAGTTGCTGCCGGAGCTGGCCCGTTTCCACTTGGGCGACACTGTGAACGTTTTCCGCCACGGATCCCTGGTGATGCAGAACGTTGGTGAGCGAACAACGCCAATCAATGGATGTGTACTGTACGGCACATGCAACGGAGCCATTGGCATTGTGACCCAGATACCGCAGGACTTCTACGACTTCCTGCACGGACTGGAGGAGCGACTAAAGAAAATCATAAAGTCGGTGGGCAAGATCGAGCATACGTACTACCGCAATTTCCAAATCAACACCAAAGTGGAGCCCAGCGAGGGATTCATCGATGGAGACCTGATCGAAAGCTTTTTGGACTTGAGTCGAGAGAAGATGCGTGATGCCGTTCAGGGGTTGGAGGTGAGATTAGTTACGATGTTTAATTTGAAAGTCTTTTTAAAGTTTTAAATTTATTTTTCAGTTCACTCTGAATGGCGAACGAAAGGGCGCGGATGTGGAAGATGTCATAAAGATAGTCGAGGACCTCACACGCATGCATTGAGGACTTGTGGTCGTTTGTATATAAGTATTGGAAATGGAACTAACTCGACGCGAATTATTTGAATGTACATGAAACTTCGATACCATGTATCCCGCTTAATCCCGTAACAACCCATTCGAAGCTCTCCGTGCTAGATGCTACGACGATCGTAAAAACGATGTTTCACGAGTTCCTCGTTTGTGTTTGACAATGTAGCAAAAAAAAATTGTTTTAAGTGCGTCGCGAGCGCGCTCTTTCAAAGTTGCGCCACAGTCCCGCATTAATTTAATAAACCAAAATTTTAAATAAAAACAAGGGTATTTTTAAAGGGTTTGTGGTCTGATTCTTAAAATTTTTATAATACTTTCAACTTTTATGATCGATATTTTTTTTAATAAAATAATTGCCTTATATTTCCTTAAATAATTTAAAAATTTAAATATGGCTTTGAATTAAATCATAAATTTGGTCTCCATCTGCAATTTATATTTTTCGTTTCTAATATCATTTCAAACAATATTTTTCTTCACCTGTTCATATCTTAAGTTTCTGTAGCTGTTTTAAGATTTCCTGTACTTAATTTAGTTTCTTAAATGCGCGTAAATGTAGAGAAGTAATTATTTTTTATGGCTTACTGAAAACGACGAATAAAGTTATTCAATGATGATAATGTCTCGTTATTTATTTACTTTTTACGTTCATTTACATACGCAAGCATTGTAAAACTATTTGCAAATTTTGAGTGGTTTTGGTTTTATAATGAATATTATTCATATTTAAATTAGATGGTTCTAATAGAAAGACGAATTCCAAATACCCTATTTTAAAACGGTTTCAATGATAGCTGAAAATAAACGATGCTTTCATACAATTATAAAGTTTGTAGAATTTACATATTATAGTATAAAGTGCATAAAAAAATTAATTTTATTAAAATGCCGTTAGTCCTATTAAGTTCCAAAGATTTCTTTTTTCTTTAAGGGGAATATTTTGCAAGCTAGTCAGTGATTTTTAAAAGTAGTCTTATCGCGAGGTTTGGTGTTCAATGTTAATGCAAATTGTATGGTAAGAGCACTGTTGTTTATAAAGATATAACTCCGGGAACCGAAAATACAAACATAAAAATGCTGTATATGAAACCTGGAAGTGTCGAACCCCCTTGCTAATACCTTTTTGCACACCGCACGCATGCGCAGCACAGTTCTTTTGACACCGGTCCCCGGGCACGTCCATATCAACCAGATCCGGCCGAAACGTGAGTCCATATGCATACAGGGTGTGGGAGAAATAGGTGGGAGGGGTGTTTCGAGGCGGGGTGGTGTGGCGGCATTGGCGTTTCATTCATTAATACACGCACACAGGCGAGCGAACGGGAAGGAGGCTGGAAAGTTGCATGTTCAGCCACCACCAACACGGGCAACACCAGCGACACAAGCAACTTCCAGTCAAGGGATTGGAACTGTGAGTGTATGGGTGGGTTGTATCCGTGTGCGGCATCTGTGTGCGTGTGCGTGCGCACTCGTCGCGCCTCCACATCACTTGCCTGTGTGTTGGTGTTGCTGCCGTGCCGATGTTGCTGCTGTGATGTGATGTTGCTGCCGTGCCGCTGCCTTTGCTGTTGCTGTTGCTGCTGCTGCTGCTGCTGCTGCCCCCAGTTACTGCAGGCTGAGCTCGGTCCATTTGAGTAGTCACTCATTCGCTCGCCGCCCGCTCGCTGGTTCAGCTGCGCGTCCACGCCGTCTGTCCCAATATCTCTATCTATATACTATCATAGAGAGACTGCGAGTCTGGATAATTTCCTCATCGTGCCTGCAAGTGTTAAAAGAAATATATTAAAAATAAATAAAGAATTCTAACAAGAGCAAATTGCTTCAGTGCCATAAACACAATCCAATAATTGCCGTTAACGGGCCCCATTTGCAAAACCTTTCCGTCGAAAACATAAAAATCATTCGGCCGCAACACATTTAAATTTATTTACTTTTAAATCATTTACTTGAAACAAAAAAATGTGCTAGCGTTTAAAGAGCCCATTTAGTTGGATTTTGCGCTAAACGGATCTTTCCTATTGGGATTTATCGACGGTGGCCAAACTGCAACAATACCAGCGGCAAAACGGATAGCTGCCCGAGGTGAGTGCGCCTTGGATGACTCATAACCCTTCAAAGGAACCTTCTTACGCCATAAAAATTAATAACAAAAAAGAGCAAAACAGGGCAGTGAACAAGTGAAATTCAATGCGAATTGTTGTAGGCGAGATTTGAAAAAAAACAACATATGTATGCAGGGCAAACAAAGAGTATGGAATCGTCATCGCCATCGAGGGCATGTCACCCAGTCGTCTGTAATATGACGCCCTCAACGGCGACGATGCCGTCGGCGGAGGTTGCTCCTCGCTTTTCTTCCCGGTTTCAGGGACCAAGAATCAGAAATAATTGTTTAGCAACAATAACAATAAAACGAAATAATATAGCCCCGAAAAAAAGGGAGACCCATAAACCGAAACGCCCCACTGCCAAATGCAAATTTCGTAGGGTCCAACCAAAAGAGTTTTTATAATTATGAAAAGGGAAAAGCAGCAAATCGAATTGCACTTAAAAATGTCCCCTTACAGACTCCAGATCCCGGATTCCAATACCAGACGCTGTGGTCATCAGCCCGGGTTTTCCACAGAATCCGCTGCAGTCCCCATAAAACAAAAGTCAACGATTGTTTTTGTTTTTTTATGGTCCTCTCCGAGAATCGGTGGTCTTATAGAGCTTTCATTCGGTCGAATCTGGATTCTACACAAAATTATATTCGACTTTTTCGAAACTAGTGGGTTTGGTTTTTAATGTTGATGTAATTGGTGGAGTACATAAATGGGATGTTGGTTTAAAGGAAGGTTAAGAAAATCATAGCTCTAAATTCTTAATTTTAAAAAAAACCTCACAAAATGTTGATAATTTTTTTCGGATTTTTGGTAATGATTTATTTGGGACTAAGATTTCATGTGCATAAAAAGAGAGATCATGATCATTTTTCTACGAAAGTTAGAGGTTTTGTAGTTCAATATTTGACAACATACATTTTTGGCAGACAGCTTTATATTCTACCGATCGTTTCAGTTTTGGATAACTTTGCTTTTCTTGGTATTATTGAATATTTGGAAGAGATATCTTTTTACCAAAAAAAGGTTTCCCTAAAAATATTTGCTTGGAAACTGTGCAAACTTTAAATGTTACTGCCTTAGTTTACGAAACTAAATAACGACTTTACATTGATTAGAAATGGAAAGTTAGACAAACTTGCTTTCAAAATATGTCTAACCAGTGAACAACTCTGTCACAGCGAAATCGCAAAGTAAACCCAAGTTGGAGTAAAGCCCGGGGTCTACACAGATATCCACATTACTGACCAGACTCCAGACGGGTCCACACAATGCCCAACGAGAGTTGCCGAGACAGTATGCGTCTCAAGTTTAATGTAGAATATGCAAATTGCGCATAGCTAATTTGCATTTATGACAAAAATAATAACTAATAATCTGGCCGAGAGGGAGGAAGAGCGTGAACGGAAACCGAGACGCAGATGGATGTGGATATGGATATGGAGATGGATACGGATACGGGGACCTGGCGACAATGACATACGAGAGATATGCGAGAAATTTACTATAATACTTCCAGGAAGGCAAAAAAATTTAAGAAAAAAGAGAAGAGAGTGCCGACCGAAGGGCGTAAAGCACGGCGAGCAAACAAAACAGCATTCGGCTCGGACATTGGACATTGGTCGCTAGTCGCTGGCCAAGAGAAATGACCATGACGGGTCGCCAGTTCCAGCTCCCCAGGTCTCTGGATACCCAGTTCCCCGACTTCCCGCCTCCAGATGCACTCCACGCCAAAAGGTGTCGCGCGCCAAGCAAATTAGCGGGTGTGTCCAATTCGAAAACGAGCCTTGGAACTCTGGAGGATGTCAGTCCGCCTAAAACTCTCACACATGTTTAAACAGTTGGAAAAAAACACAAGGCATATCATAATCAAGAAAAATATTTAAGTTCTTTCAAGAAATCACATGAAACCTTTGATCAACTAATAGCAATATTTAAAATAATAATATTCCGGCGGTAGTTTGACAAAATAAGTTGTAAAGTTTGTCTAAAATTGATAATAATCAGGAATAAAATATTAGGTATATCAAAAAGTTCTTTCAATATTCATAACTCTATTTTCAGTGAATGAAAATCAACATTTATGTGGCTTTGAATAGGTTTTGTATAATTTTTTCTTTATGCTATGGTACTATACCATACTATGATACCAGCTATATGTTTTTGATTGTTTGAGTGGTTTAAGAACTGTTATTTCTTGTATTGGTATTGAGCTGGTATTTTGTTTTTCGCTTAGTGTATCCCCAAACCATGTGCTAGTATCTATAATGTCGTGTCCCTTTGTCACGTGTAATCAATTCATGCATTACAATTTCACGCTCAATCGCCGATGTAATTGAGCCGCACAGCCGTTCCCTTCCCGATTCCTTTTCCTTTAAGTGTTTAAGTACCCCAGGTTGCACTCTCGCTGTCCAACTGCCGCCACTATGTCTGCCACAAATCCAATTGGTTGGCCCAGCTCTGCCATGAATCCGGGGGATCGGCTCAGAGTTTTTCCGGTCGCCCAGCTTCCGTAAAAACAAAAATGTAGGGGTGGCATCCAACCGTAAACTGCAGCTGGAGCAACAGTTAAACCATTTTCACACCCAAAAATTATATTGTATTTATATTTATACCCAGATCTGTTGAAATATTTTTCTAATTTTTACAACTATTGGTTAATGGTTTAATTTATGCGAAGACACGAACTCTATGCCCTGTGGCATACATTCTGAACGTTTTCGGGATAGTCCTTGCCACAAGTCCTGTGTCCATTGTTTGGATCACGTTCCCGCGCCGATATCGAATCGGTTCGATCTCAGAGGCAACTTTGTTTCCAAGTGAACAGCGTCGAGGAATAGCTGAGATCCTGGATCCATTGTCCTCATCTTGGTCCTTGCCATTCCGCTATCGGATAACAGAGCCCGCATTTCGTCCTCATGTATCCGTATCTTTGGCGCTTCAAACTTGTAAGTTTTTTTTCTCTTTACGAAAAAAGGGTTCGAGGTTTTTGTGTTGAAAATATGGGAATCCGAATCTCTGTGTCCAATGTGCAAAGGCATGTGTGCATATTATGCCATCATCGAACGTCTTGAGATATGCATCTAGATCTGTGGGCTTGGCTGACATGTAAGCATGGACAAGTTGAGGGTTGATCCGAGGTAGCCCCTAGACTTAGAGCATAGAAATATTACATCTCATATTCTTCTTGGAACTCATTCCCAAACATAAAGAACAATTTGAACCATAATAATGTTGCATGTGAACTTGAGTGTATTTCTTCAAGGCAAAGAAAATTTAAACCCATAAAAACTAAACTCTAAATTAAAAAAGTATATCTATATTTACAATGTGCTTTTACAGAAAAGAGTTCTTCAACCAAATTAAATCCGAAAATATCTCTACCATGATAATTTTAAGTCGATCACTAACAAATACAATAGCTCTATCTAATAAACCCTTCCTCAATTTGAAGTCCCAGAACCCAGGTCTTTTTTCCAATTCCTCTGTGGCGCCAGTGAATCACTTTAGTAAATTATCTGAGGTGGGAGGGACTAGAAATGAAAAAGAATATTTAAAATTTTTGCACGTTGAGCCAAGATAATGAAAGATGTTGCAGTTGCAGCGGCAGCAACAACACTGCTCTGCTGCAGCTGAGGGCAAAAATTGTGCTGCGCGTGCAAGAAATTATAAGCGTCATTTGCGATTAGCTCATCGACGCCAGCAAAACAAACAAAAAACAAAGACAAAAAGAAGCCGAAATATTGTAAGACATAAAACACTGGCAGTTGGACAAAAAGGCATTATCGGCAACGACAACAAATCGGCAACACGTGCCATGTGGCCGGCTGACAAGTGCCAAAAGATACTCACACTATTCGTGATCGATCAATGAATGAATCGCGTAAAGTCCAAAATACGATATGATGACAAATGGTAAATTATAATTTAACACCATGTTATGGTTGTGTTTTATACCTGAAACAAATAATTTCAAGTACTACTATCAGGATTATTTAAATAAATATATTTGATTGTTTTAAAATATATTATTTCAAGCTATACCTAAAATTCTTAAGGTAAATAGATTAAATACTTGAAATATATATGATATTTTTGGTTGCTTTTAAAGTTCTTATTTAATTTTTAAAAACTAAATACATTGGTTTGAATTTAAGCATTTATTCAGTTCTAAAAACACACCTAACTAGTGGGCTGACTAGGGGTTAAGTGCTGATCAGACCTCTACGTAAATATCTGATTCAGGGGTCAACGGTGGGCTTGGATAACTTTTGTTATAACTGGCGTCGCCCTCCGATTCAACTGAGCTCAGCAAATGTCGCGAAGAAAGTAAAGTCGCTGCGATTCGGGTGAAATGCAACACTTTTTGCTAACGCCGCACAAGTCATGGTCGCGCTGCTCTTGTTTGTTTATTTTCGCCAGCATGTGACATTGTCCGCGGCGAAGGCGACATTGGAACCTCCGCTCAGCTCCGCTCCAGAGCTTGAGCTCGGGCTCTCCATATGATTTCCCAGTCCAATCGAAAGTCATCTACGGCGGAGAACCCAGAACACAGAACCCAGTGAAAAAGCTGAGCGGTTCGGTCTCTGGACGGCGGCGTCGCCGTTGACGGTTGGAGCGTTTTAGTTGCGGTCAGCTTAGTGTTGGATCAAGTCGCACAGTGCACCCAGTGACCAAGTCGTTGTCGTCGTCTTCGCCGTTTTGTTTTTTTTTTATTTGGACGCCCTTGTCGCGCGCGGTTTATGTGGCATAGTTTACGATCTCGCGGACGTCTTGCAACTTCATCTTGGCCAGCGAATCCCTCAAGCGATGCAGCCTGCACTCCCGGCAGACCGCTTGTGAGATGGATCCAAAAAGTAATCATTAGCCAAAAGGAATAACCAGAGCTGCACATAAAGAAATCTTCAGGTTTCTCAACGATCAATTTGAACTTTTTTTCTAACCTAATATTGGTCGACAAAGGACTAGAAATGCTTTTCAGTA